CCCTAATTAACCGATTTAAGTCCTAATCATTCCTTAGAAAAAGAAAAGCTTTTTCAATAATTTCATATCTCAGTCAAAATTCACACTAACAAGACTTTTATGAAAGATTTACAAAAATAAATATTACATATCTAATACCTAAATTTCAATTTCTATAGCCTTACTTACATAGCAAAACATGTATTTGACAAAAAATAAAAACTTAGATATTAGATAGGTAAAGAGCTTCTTTTAAGCCATCATAGTCATAACGATTTAGGCATATGAAAACAAACAAGATAAGCCCTCCCCACAAAGGACAAGATTTCTTCTGGGCCAATTACATACATATCATGTCAAACATTGCTATTTACAAAACTAACATTCTCTATCCGCTCTCCTTTTCAAATTCTCACTAAATTATCCAAATTTATGAAAGGAAAAATCTCCGCTAATACTTTTCTTTCTGGTCAATTTCTCAATAATTTAGAATTAACAATATTTTAAATGCCATGTATTTATGGGCACACTTCTTCAACATAAAAGAAATTATTATGCTTATGTTGAGACTCTAAAAGTAGAGATGCGTTGGGAGTCCAATGAATCATCTACACGTGAAGCTGATAGAAAAAATAATTCGTTTCTTGTGATCCAGCCCAGTAACACGGGAATACTCTTCTCGTATTATTTCGCGTTATTCAGGTGTTATTATAGTGATATTGATGTGTTATTATGTTATTATAATAGCGAGAATATTCTTAGAACACAATAATACATGAATATCATTATAATAACACATGAGTAGTTTGAAATAGCTAAAATGATTTTTTTTTTTATCATAATTTCATCATAATCATAAAGCTGCTTATCCTAGTGCTTCTTTAGATCCATCAACTCCTCCATCAATATCCCAATCTCCTCAAAAGATGACCCGCCCTTCTCCACAGCTCTCCTCGCCATCTCCCCAAGCTCCTTCGCTCTTCTCCTCCTCTCCTCCGCCTCCTCCCCTCCCCCCATCACCCTCCTCACCGCCGCCGCCACCGCAGAAGCCTCCAAAACCGGCCTCATCTCCACCCTAAACTCATACACCTTCGACCCCACCGCAACCCCAACCCCCAACACCTCCACCAAAAGCTTCTCATTGAAGAACTGCTCCGCATACAACGGCCATGTCACCATCGGCAACCCCGCGCAAATCCCCTCCAAACTCGAATTCCACCCGCAATGACTCACAAATCCCCCAACCGCGCCATGATTCAATATCAACAGCTGCGGCGCCCATCCTCTAACCACCATCCCCTTCCCTGCAATCCTCTCCTCATACCCTTCCGGAACCCAATCATCTCCCTCATTTCGCACCACCCAGACAAACGGATGCCCTGCTTCTTCCAACCCCAGCGCCATTTCTCTCAGCTGCTCCCCTGAGAAAAGACTCCCGCTTCCAAAGCACATGTACACGACCGAGCCCGCCGCTTTACTTTCAAGCCAGTCCAAGCATTCGTTAACGGACGCAGAGTGCTTCCCTCCTCTTAACGACATCCCGGCCGCCTCCTTGTTGCAGAGAGAAACAGGGCCGACATTCCAAGTTTTCCCCTTTACCTTACGATTTTGGTCGGCATACTCAGGCTCCAATTCATAAAAACTGTTCATCACCGCACCATAGTGCTTTCCCTCCACCTCCTCTGCCTCATCAAATATTTCCGTAAAAATACCCAATGGCGTTCCTGCGAGTTTTTTGAAGTCCAAGACTTGAGTCTTCAGCATCTCTATGCGGTGAGGGAGGCCGGGGAGGACAAAGGAGTCGAGTTTATCCACTATCTCCCGGCATCGCTCGAAAGCATTAGACGCGCATAGCGAGAAGTTGTTGGTGCCGTGAAAAACGAGCCGAGGAATTCCTCTGGCGGCGGCGACATGATAAGTCCACGGCAGAAAATAGTCGGAAACAACGCAATCGGGGCGCAGATGTTCGAGCACGGAGTCAAAAGGGTTGCGGAGGGCGGCGATGGCTCTGATGAAATCGATGCGTTTGTCTTCGGGGAGGACGAAGGAGCGATTCTCGCATCCGTCGGGAAGGCCGAATTCAGCGGAGGGGAACGGGATGATGTGGAGATGGATGGAGGAGTCGTCGATGGTGGGGCGGATGATGGCGGCGTTAACGGGGGTGGTGAGGATGGTGATGCGTGCGCCGCGGGCGGCGAAGAGCTTGACGATGTCGACCATGGGGAGCATGTGGCCCTGAGCCATGTAGGGGAAGAAAAGCATGTGGAGATGGGAGGGTTCAGATCCCATGGCTGGTGATGTGATCTACTCTGTTCTGCTCTTAGCGGAGTGGGGGATTATATACATACACGAAAATGTTCAGTTAATTGTTATAATTATCGAAGCTATCGTCACTGCTGACGTGAACATCACAAGCTGCATCTGGAACAGAAAATTGACAGATGCGATTGGTGCAATCGGGGCTTATTATTTTAGTGTCGCTGATGTAGTTCGATGTTAGCATTAATGATTTAGGCCAACTGGCATGTAGAGATAAGGTGTATATAATATATATATATATATATATATATATATATATAAAAAAATATATATTGCGATAAAATCTAATATA